GGTGTAGAAGGTCCCACCTTTCTCAGCTCACTTGTTTCTCCCTTTATATCTATACACACACCAGAGCTGGAACCTGTAAGGGTGTCTTATTCCATCCTAATTCTGATATAACTACTTGACTGATCACAGCATGTGGATGATGACAACTGAGATACAATGAAGAGTTATGACCCAGCCAAGTGTACACATACTTTGGAAGGCCAAATTCAGTCATGCCAGGAGGCCGGGAAGGATCAAAAGAAGGATTTGGTGTGAAGAAGGGAAACAGCCCAAGCGATGTTAAAAATAGTATTTTCTTTGAACTTGCAGAGCAAGAAGAAAGACAACTCAAATCAGAGAGACAAAGGAGCAAGGCAAGTCAGAATGCTGTAAACAGTCAACATGTGGTGTCAATGTTTTTCTATCTGGAGAAGCAATTTGGCAGGCACGTCTTCCTTAGGATGCTTCTATTCACTGAGACTAGATCTAGAGATTTCAAGGTCTGTGTGTGCCTTGCCCGCACATAGTCAGGTAATACCTTATAGAAGAGAGGCAGAATATATGCCCACGTGGCTAGAGGAAGTCATTTGGGTAATGGTTGATAGATTAGTATCTCATAACTAAGTTTTCAGGATATTTGCTTAATGTCCTAAGGAGATTCCTAAAGTGAAGTTAATAATAATATCTCTGAGGACTTCCAGGCTAGGAGAGTGAGTTCAGGAAATTCCTTCATGAGCACTAATAAAACTGAGAAAAATGTATCCCAAACCCCAATTCTAGGACTTTGAAAACTGAGCAAAGGCATATAACAATTTGCTAAGTGTTTAAGAAAAGCGCCTAAACCAGTAAAAACAGTGGATGTTGTTTTCATCTGCTTTCCCCTACATTTACAGCTATGTGGCTAGGTAGTTCCCAAAAGGCAAGGCAAACATAGACCAGGACCCTCACTGCTGAGGCTTGATTTACACTGGGACTTGGAAAAAACCTTCCCAGGCTGGTTGCCAAAAATCACCTTACAAAAACCCAAACTTGGAGTTGACTGGAACTCATAAAGACCTTGCAGGGCACAGTAGAATTTCTGATAGTCAACAAGATGAATAAAACAAATTCAATAAATGTTTTGCTGCAAAATTAACTAATGTGTACCTTTATAATGCATAGTAAATTATATTCCTAATTGGCAGATTCTAGACTTTTTTTATAACATAGGAAACGAGGGTTTCTTATATTTACTTAGGATCACAAAACAAATGAAGGAAATGTTTGAGCACGTTTTAAGTTGCAGCTGATGAAATAGGATATTTGAATATAATTGCAATTGAAATGGTGATCTTCTAATTTATAATTTATACTTCAGAGGTGTTTTATATGTTTTCACACCTCTTCTTCCTTCCTGAATTTGCTGACTTTGCCTTTCACACCGAAAAGGTGCGCTATCCCAGACAAGGCAATAGTCATGGTCCTACAGGTGGGGTTCACATGTTCTGTTGTCATGATCATGCAGTGCTCTCAGAGTGTATGGATGTGCCTATGTCCTTACGTGTGCTTATTAACTGGAATGCAAAACACATGCACACCTGCACAGTAAAGTCAAGCAAGAGCTTGAAGTACTTTTAAATATTCTTCTCTATCTGTTTAAAATTACTAATCATTGGAAAGATCAACTATTCTTCCTCAGTCCTCAGAAATGTACTTAAAAAAATTCTCATTTTATTTCTTTATTCTTTGTTCACGTGTCCAATTGCCACACATACTTATGTCTTCTAAAACCTACCCCATTTTCCCCCTTTCAGTTATATGGTACACCATTTTCATCCTGCCACAGAGAAACATAGTTCCTAGTGCCCATTGTATGTAGTCTGTAGTTCCAATGTTGGCGGTCTCTGCTCCCTTCAGTTGGCTTTCTCTTTAGGGTTATGCTTATGGGCTCTTACAGTTCGTCTTCCAGCCTTCTTGGTTGGATAGTGTGAAGACACTAGACTCACCCTTCTCATTAAACCCTGGCTTATCCTGACTAGATTGGGAAGATAATCGAAGGCTGGAATTTGCAATATTCTTTAAATCTTCAGGTATGGCTGCCTGGCTTTGGTGATCTTCCCTTCGGGAGCCTTCTTACCTTTTGGATATTAGGTGACTTTCAAGACAGAAAGGTTTCACTACTTTGAAACACGATGATAACTTCAGAATCAATAAGGCCAAATTAGAGCTCATGAGACTGTCATTTGCTTTTCACGTGTTTGTTGTTAAGAGTCAGTTCTGACTTATGACGTGCTTACCTGTAAGATTTCTCGGGTGGCAAATATCTCAGTTCTTGGCTTCGCAAGAGAAAGAATTCACTCCGAAGCCTGGTTTGTGATCCAAGTGAGTTTTTATAAATGAGGGAAGAAGTTTCAGGTTTTACAGTCTCACAAGAGTACACACTGTTTCGTCTGGGGTCTTAAAGGCTTGAAGGTAAACGAGCGGCCATCTAGCTCAGAAGCAACAAAGCCACATGGAAGAAGCACACCAGCCTGTGTGATCACGAGGTGCCAAAGGGATGTTATCAGGCATCATCAGAACAAAATATTATATATAGTGAATGAGGGGTGTGTGTGTGTGTGGAGTGGAGACTCAAAGCCCATTTGTAGGCAACTGGACATCCCTTTACAGAAGGGTCTCAGAGAGGAGATGAGCCAGTCGGTGCGATGTAGCAACGATGAAACATACAACTTTCCTCTAGTTCCTAAATGCTTCCTCTCCCCCACTAACATGATCTCAATTCTACCTTGAAAGTCTGGCTAGACCAGAGGATGTGTACTGGTACAGATAGGAACTGGAAACACTGGGAATCCAGGGCGGATGATCCCTTTAGGACCAGTGGTGTGAGTGGCGATACTAAGAGGGTAGAGGGAGGGTGGGTTTGAAAGGGGGAACCGATTACAAGGATCTACATGTGACCTCCTCCCTGGGGGACAGACAACAGAAAAGTGGGTGAAGGGAGATGTCGGACAGTGTAAGATATGACAAAATAATAATTTATAAATTATCCAGGGTTCATGAGAGAATGGGGATCCGGGAGAGAGGGGAAAAATGAGGAGCTATGCCAGGGGCTTAGCTGGAGAGCAAATGTTTTGAGAATGATGAGGGCAGTGAATGTACAAATGTGCTTCACACAATTGATGTATGTATGGATTGTGATAAGAGTTGTATGAGCCCCTAAGAAAACAAAAAGAGTACACACTGTTTCGGCACGCGTGCCAAACTGCACGTGAGCCACGCTGGGTCTCACCATTGCAAATGAGCAACCTCAAGAGGTGGCCACCCACACTGGGCCCTGAGACACAACTAAGAGGGGCGCAGAACAGGGGAGAGGAGGTCTGCTGCTACGGTATTTAAAGCCTCTGGCTGGGGAGGCGTGGCCGAAGGTATGGGCTGATTCCATTGGCTGCATCAAGCCCACCTGGCTCAGGGAGTAGGGGTAGCTGAATTGTAGCCTGCCCAATTAAAACGTGTTTAATGCTTGCCTGATTTCTTCCCAACCTCCTGTAGGGGACCTTCAGGCACGGAGAGGGACAACCTTGTCCCTATGCTGCTCCCTAACATATCTACTTGCATAACCAGGCAGAATGCTGCCCCACTGCACCCTCCTCATGGAGGCTGGTGTGGAAGGTCCACAGTGGCAGCTCTGTGTGGCAGCCCCATTCTCCTCCAAATGCTATAACCTCTCCGAACCTTAGTTTGACATCCTTAAAATGTTGGTAAGATAAGCAGCAAAAGTCTACTGTGATAAGCAGCTATGACAAATGAGAAGAGGCCAAGATACAGACCGGTACAGGAAGAGTAAGTGCCAAGAAGGTTTAAGGTTCACGAAGGGGTCCTGGAGGTTGCCCTCTACTGGCCTTGTTACTGGGAGGGAAGCTACCAGGTCAGGGTTCTTGGTCAGTCATGGTCTTTCCCAAAGGAGGCCCTGGAAACTTGCCGACTAACCACACACAGTGCTCCCACAACACTAAAAGTGTTCCTAAAAATCTAAAGCAGGCATCATGAAATGTCACCTGTGACATTCTGAAAACTCCAAATAAGATCTGTTCTACTTACAAAAAGCCTTCTTCTAGATGCCTCTCCACTGCGAACCCGGACTCAGTACTGGGAGATTTCTGCTGAGTCTCTGAGCTTTCCCATGGCTGTTGCTGTCTGCCCCCAGGTGCCACGAGTCTCAATCCCGTAAGCTTTGCTTCCTGTGACCTGCTCAAGTTCATTCACCACCGCAGATACAACGTGATTGCCAAAGCTTACCCGGAACCCCTCACTCTCTCTTGCTTCTGACAATTTTCCCCAACACAATGTCTGTGGTCAAGTGGTCTCAACCTCTACTATAACTATTTGCAAGGTCTAACTGGATGGGACGATCATTAAATAGTTACCACTCTGTAGGTTTCACAAGTTCTTAGGATTTCTCTTCGTTTTGTTGGCCCTCTACTTTACTTAGCATGTTTCTTAGGTAGATATCTCTTATAATCACTACTGTGAAGTAGACATCAACACAAATCATGGTCAGATGGACACACATTTTGAGAAGAATATTTATTTGTTATTGAAAATTACACAAAGGCAAAGGAAGCTCAGCTGCTGATTTTCCATAGCGCAGCAGGGAATTCATTGTATGGAAAGAGGAAATGCATATGGCGGTTTACAGTTCTAAGGCATTTAGGCTTAGGAGCAGTAGGCCCTGCGAGCCCAGGTGCATTCACTTGAGTTTAAATATCGGAGGCACACCAGACAGGCAGGCAAGAGACCAGAAACTCTGCATTTAAACCTTCATGCGTTTGAATATTCGGATAGTATATCTCTTCTCCCCCTCATCAATCAAGTTTTTGACATGAGTTTTGGAATTGTTCATAGAACACTGGTAATAATTTACTCTTCAAGAGTTACGTACATTGACAACACCAATGGGCCAGACGGAAGAGACTGATTTCATGGGCTGGTTCTCTCTCTTACCAAAAGGAGGCTCCAGTAAGAAAAACACTGATTTGCAAAGGCACAGTGGAGACAGGTTTAATGTATTAAATATAACATGAATCATTCACAATAACAAGTTTAGTGTTTCAGGGAACTTTTGTTAATACAACACAGTTGGTCACACAAAATACAAATGCTTCTGTTGATTTGTCTTGGCAACTCAGAGACATCAACAGTGCTAACAGTTTAACAGCTTTGTTCTCATCTGACAGAAAATAATGGCAGTTCTGCAAGGCAAATGTTAAACCTGACCGTATGTATTTATTAATTCCACAGTGTTTTGACAGATTAGAGAGGCTGGAACTCAGAGGATGCTGACACGCTCACTGAGGGCTTGCATCTCTGTTTCTTCTCTTTCGGGACTGTCACTGTGGCTAGCACTCAGATTGATCAGGTGTGCCGGGTACTGCAGCCCCTGCTCGCCTGCATACTGCTCCCACCGCGAGTCATCGCTTTCATGGGTGATGTAGCGTTCCCCAATTTTGCATTCCAGCTCCCGTAAATCTAGCCAAGTCTGATAATCCTAAAGCAGAAATGCTACAGCGTTACTGGAGAGATCATTAAAATTCAACATGCTCCTTCCTGAGCTGTTGATTCCCATAATCTATGAGTTGCCTTTTTCTCTTCCACTCTGACAACATTGTGTTTTTCATCAGTTCACCCTGAAGAGCCAGCATCAGCACCAAAGCCATCCTGTTTGCCTAACCTTTGCAAATACACATTGTTTATGTGGTGCCACGATTCAAAGAGGGGGCAATTAATACTTGCAGTCAAATGATTTGGAATTGGTATTTCTTTGATCATTAACACCTACATTTAGTAGTTCAGCGCAATATCGGTGTTGTTTATCTAACCTTTAAACTCACTGTACAAATAAGAAATATTTAAGAGAACACAATTATGCATATATCCCTTATATTTGGTATTGGTTTGTTCCATGAACAAAAGCCTAGGATTTAAAATTATAGCTTGCAAACGAGCACAGTCCATGACCAGATGGGCATCTATTTGGACATTTCATCAGGATCACACCTACAGATGCTTTGGAAATCTGGTCCTCTGAGTTCTGTTATGACCGCCCCCCCTCCACCCCATTTGTGTGTTTCTCCCCTGTCAAACTTTCGTGGTAGAAAGAGTGGTTTAGAAAGACTAAACTGCTATTAAATCCCAAGAAGTGGCATGCATTTAGAAAAGCAATTTGAAAAAAACAAGCAAATAAATAAAAAAAAAGCAATTTGCTCTTAAAACAGTATTTTAAAAACTATGCAAAATTATTTTATATATAATATCAAAGTTCTATAACTAGTTATAAGCTCATTCAACAGAAAAAAGTCTAATGACTGATTATACATGTATACATTTATATATATATATATATATATATTTTTTTTTTTTTACCTGTAGCCAGGGATGACTCAAGGTCTTATCCACACTATAACGTTTTCTCATTTTCACTTGCAGCAAATTATTAATAAGATCAATAGCTGAAAAACAATGATTAGTAGAAATAGATAAGATCTCTAGGATGTATGCACAGTTCATTTATAGTTTATTTCACATCTGCAAAAGAGCCCTGGTGGTTGAGTTGCTAACAGTTCACAGTCACCAGCTGCTCCTGGGGAGAAGAATGAGGCTTTCTCTTCCGGTAAAGAGTTCTATTCTGAAACCCACAGGGGCAGTCCTAGTCTCTCCGTTAGGGTCGCTATGAGTTGGAATCAAAACTCACTCCATGGCAGTGAGTTTGCTTGAGTATTTCATGCCGACAAGCACTAGAACCTGAAGGAGATCCCTCTTGAGAATTCTAAAACCTTGGCGGTCACTGTATTTTGGATCCTAAGGAATGCAAGTGGAAATAATTGTGGAGGAAGAAGTATCAAGAGTACATTGTGAGTGTGATGTGAATTTCTTAGTCTAGTCCTTGATATATATATATATATATATATTTAGAGTAGGAACTTGTTTAAATGTATGCCATTTAAATAGGCTTAGATTTATGGCTGGATGCAAAATATTTAAAATTTGTTAAAAATTATAACACACATAGTAGGCTTCACCATCTTGAAATAAATTACAAATATCAGAATACAATATTAACAAGGAATATACCACCATCAGTGACTCATGATAAATTTGACTCATAATAAATTTGAAGCACACAAACCAATGGTCCAAAGCAAAACAAAAAATAAAGACAAGCAGGGGGAAAAAAGTCAAACAGAATATCTTGATTCTGCCTTTAAAAATAATTGATGAATTCGAGTCGGACCAGTTTTCCCTATTTCCACAGAGGGTTTCAGATAGGAACCAAGCAGAGGTGTGGAGTTCAGAATGTTGCCTTTGATTGGACCCTCTAGACATGTAAGTTAGGAGGAAACCCTGATTCTTCTACTCATTTCCTCTGTAAAGCATCCTCGTTATGCATGACATGCTACAATTCTCACTTGACTTTTCTGTAATTTTATTTTTGGCTTAAGTCACATGTTTTAAAATGATTAATTCTATATTTACAATTTTAACCTTTTTCCCACAAGACTTTTCTTCTGTTATATTAACAATCCATATTCTCATTTATGAAAAAAAAAACCATACCATATATATTCGAGAATAAGCTGAGTTTGTAAGCACATTTTTATGCAGTTTTGGTGGTAAAATCAGGTGCCTTGGCAGATATTCGTGGAGGCTTATACTCGAGTATATATGGCAAAAGTTTTAATAAATAAAAATCACCTACTCTTCCATTTCCCAATAATACTCTTGTGAATACTTTATTGAATAACCTTTCAGATATATAAATGCATATGGTGGTATATAAATTCTATCATCCTACAACAAATGTTCATTGTATATGCCTGTGCCATAATTTGTAATGGCTTCACATTATGCTACTGAATGGAACATTTTAAAATATAATTACTTTCCTTATTGATTGTCATTTAGACAGTTTACACTTTTCACTATTCTGTATTGACCATGATATGATATAATACATATCTTACATATTTACATGCGCATACATAAAAGCATTTATTTATTCATCCAACAAATATTCACTGGGTAAATACCATGCCCCTGGCATTAATCAGCTTTGTTGTTGTCCTGTGCTGTCAAGATGGCTCTGACTCATAGGGACCCTATGGCCCAATACCCCCGGGATCTGCACCATCCTCACAGTTGTCCCTACGTTTGAGCTCATTGTTGCAGCCACAGTGTCAATCCATCTTGTAGTCTTCTTCTTTTTCACCCCCACCCCCAACTTTACCAAGCATGACGTCCTTCTCCAGGGACTGGTCTTTCCTGACAACATGTCTGAAATACATGAGACAAAGTCTCGACATCCTGGCCTCGGCAGAGCGTCCTGCCTGTACTTCATCCAAGACAGATCTGTTAGCTCCTTTGGAAGCCCAGGGTTCTTTCAATATTTTTCGCCAACATCATAGTTCAAATGTGTCCATTTTCCTTTGGTCGCCATTAATCAAAGTCCAATTTTCACATGGATATGAGGCAATTAAAAATACCATGGCTTGGGTCAGGTACACTTTAGTCCTCAAAGTAACATTCTTGCTTTCAACATTTTAGAGGTTTGGTGCAGCAGGTTTACCCAGTGCAGTGTGTTGTGTGATCTCATGACTGCTGCTTCCATGAGCAATGATTGTGGATCCAAGCAAGATGAAATCCCTGACAACTTCAGTCTTTTCTCCATTTTTCATGTTACCTATTTCTTTACACTGAGTTGTAATCCACACTGAAGGCTGCAATCCTTGATCCTCATCAGCAAGTGCTTCAGATCCTCTTTACAGTCAGCAAACAAGGGTGTACCCTATGTACACTGCAGATCATTCCTAAGGAGTCTTTCAATCCTGATACATTCTTCTTCATACACTCCAGCTTTTCACATTGTCTGCTCAGTATACAGATTGAATAGGTATACTGAGAGGATACAACCATGACACACACCTTCCTGATTTTAAGCCAGGCAGTCTTCCCTTGTTCTATTGGGGGGCAAAAATCGTAAAACTGCCTCGATACTGGTACAGGTTGCTTATGAGTACAATGAAGTGTTCTGGAATTTCCATTCTTCTCAAGGTTATCCATAGTTTGTTATGATCCACAGAGTCGACTGCCTTGGCATAGTCAATGAAACACAAGTAAGCATCATTCTGGTATTCTCTGCTTTCAGCCAAGATCCCCCTGACAGGAGACTTGATATCTCTTGTTCCACATCCTCTTCTGAATGTAGCTGGAACCTCTGACATTTCCCTATCCATGTACTGCTGCAACTTGTGTTGAATGATCTTCAGCAAATTTTACTTACATGCAATATTAATGGTAGTGCTCTATAATTTGAGCACTCTGTTGGGTTGCCTCTCTTTGGAATAGGCACGAATATGGATCTCTTCAGTCAGTTGCCCAAGTAACTGTCTTCCAAATTTCTTGGCATAGATGAGTGAGTGCGTCCAGTGCAGTGGTTCTCAACCTGTGGGTCATGACCCCTTTGGGGGTTGAACAACCCTTTCACAGGGGTCGCCCGATTCATAACAGTAGCAAAATTACAGTTATGAAGTAGCAGTGAAAATAAATTTATGGTTGGGGGGGTCACCACAACAGGAGGAACTGTATGAAAGGATCACAGCATTAGGAAGGTGGAGAACCACTGCCCCAGCATTTCATCAGCTTGTTGAAACAACTCAGTGGTATTCCATCAACTCCTTGAGCCTTGTTTTTGGCTAAGGGGTTCTGGTGTCACAGTGGTTAACCATTGGGCTGCTAATGCAAGGTCACAAGTTTGAAACCACCAACTACTCTGTAGGAAAAAGACAGGACTTTGACCCCTGCATAGAGTTCCGGTCTCAGAAACTCCCAGGAGTAGTTCTACCCTGTTCCATAGGATCCCTATGAATCAAAATTGACTCGATAGTAGTGAGTTTGGTTTTGGTTAATTCTTTCTGTGCAGTCTGGTCTTTTTTTCCTTGATATCATTGGCCCTTGCTCATATGCTTCCTCTTGAAAGGCTTGAATGTCAACTTGTGGTTTTTAGTACTGGGACTGTATTTTTCCATCTTTTTTGAATGCTTCCTGTATCATTCAATATTTTGCCTAAAGAATATTTCAATATTGCAACTCGAGGTTTGCATTTTTTCCTGAGTTCTTTTGGTTTCAGATATGCTGAGCATGATTTTCCTTTTATAGTTTCTAACTCTAGGTCTTTGCACATTTCATTATAACATGTTTCTTTGTCTTCTTGAGTTTCCCTTTGTCATTTGGTGTTCAGCTCTGACATCTTTAAGGCTGAGGAGTCACCCTATATTGCAAATACTTTTCACCATGGCTCTTGTCTCTTTAACTGTGTATATGGCTAAGTTTGTGGTATTTACGGGGCAGATTTTTATCCTATTTAAAGAAACTCTGGTAGTCTAGTGGGTTACATATTGGGCTGCTATCTCTAAGGTCCGCAGTTTGAAACTACTAGCCATTCCTGGAGAGAAAGGTGAGGTTTTCTACTGCTGTAAAAGAGTTAGTCTCAGAAACCCACAGCAGTGGTTCTACCTTGCTCTAAAGTGTTGCTTTGAATTGGAATAAACTGATGGCAGTGAGGATTTGGGCTTGTTTGTTTTTAATTCTACTTAAAATGTCTTCAAAAAAGAAGCCAGCCCTCAATGAGATGAACTGACACAATTGCTACAACAGCTGTCTCAAAGATAAAACTAATTGTGAGGATGTTGCAGGACCTGGCATGGTTTCATTGTAATGTTCATGGGGAAATTATCAGTTGGAATTGATTCTATAGCACTTAACCACAACAGCATCTTTACTTAAGATGTTTTCCCATATATGATATTATTACATAATACCTTTCAGAGGATGTGCCATGTTTTTAAACTCTTCCTCAGTATGATAAAGGTTTTACTTACATGGGTTTACCTTTTACTTTTGTTTCAAGTCTCAATCATTATGTACCTCAATTATTTTTCAATTCCCTAAAGCACAATCCCCATTTTTTCCATCTCCCCTATTTCTTATTTATTCTTGTATTTTCCAATCTTATGGCTTTAAAGCAGGCCAGTGTTCTCCCACTCCTAATGACCTTACAGGACAAAGTACAATCACCATTGTGAGTTTCCCTTTATAGGAGGAAAGCCTCATCTTTCTCTTTAAGAGTGGCTGGTGGCTTTGAACTGTTAACTTCATGGTTAGCCCAATTCTTAACCCACTATGTCACCAGTGCCCCTCAGGACTCTCTAATGTGATTAGCATTATACACATTTATGATAAGCCAAACTAATGCCAGAATCATACTTTCTCATCTTACTTAGGGTGGCCATAAATTCACCTAAATCTTTCATAATCTTTGCTTTTATCTTTTTTCCCATAAAAAGCTTTTTGAAATGTGTCAAAATTATGGAAGCAGTCACATTTTGTCAAAGGTAAACCTGACCCTTATATTACTTTTGTCATCATATTACTTGAACGATGAGTTTTTCTACCA